CGGCCGCAGCCGCGGCGGCCGGCCCACCGGTGCCACCTCCAGGCGCCGCTTCCGGGCCCTCAGCCTCGCCGACCCTCCTCTTCTTGCCCTCCAGGCGGGACAAGTGCTTGCTGTGCGCCTCCATGGCCTGCTTCGCCGCGCCCACCGCGCCTTGGAACATGCGCGACAGAGCCTGCTGGATCTCCGCCGCCGCTGCATCCTTGCGCGTGCGCAGCTCTTCACGATCTGACTCCTCGAGCTCGTAGGCTGCTGCCACCTCCGACGTGCCCATGAAGTCGTCGATGCTGAATACCTTGGTGAGGTCAACCTTACCCTCGACGAGCTGGCGGATGCTGACAGCAGGCGCCTGCTGGGGAGGTGGCGGGGCGTTCTGGGCCTGAATGGCGTCCAGCGCCGAGCGAGCCACCTTGTCGGCCTCCTCGAGCTCCTTGGCCAGCGAGGCGATGTGCTCGACGAGGCGAGCCGAACTCGCCCTCCAGCGCTGCAGCTTCGCGTGCTGCACCTCGAGCTTCTCCTCCAAGGCCTTCTGCTCCTGCTCGGCCTTCTGCCATTTCTCGCGCAGCGAGGGCTCGGCTGGCGGCTGCGGCGCGCGGCCCGCCAGAAGCTGGTAGCGGCGCGCCCCCTCCTCGTCTCCTGCAGCCTTGGCCAGGGCCGCCAGCTGCTTGGCCTGCTCTGCCTTGATCTGCGGCAGAGGTCCAGGCGGGAGGGCAGCCAACTGGCCGTCTCGGCCCTTGCCAGGCGGAGCCGTGCCACCGGAGGCCGCCTTGCCTCCGCCCCCTTTGCCTCCGCCCTTTTCGCCCTTGAGCCCTTTCGCCCCAGTAGCCTTGCCACCATTGGGGTCGGGCTCCTGGCTCGCTGGCTTCTTGAGCGACGAGCCGCAGTGCTTGCAGCACAGCGACCCCTGGACGTTGCGGCGGCAGCCGCAAGAGGTGCAGAGGACGTACTTCTTGGTGCCTGCTGAGGTGTACCACTCATCGTCTCCTGCTCCTGCGATGTCTCTCGGCACTGGCCAAGAGTAAGTGTAGCTGCCTCCCCACCGCCTCTGCCGTCGCTGCACCCAGGGACGAGAAGCATCGTGAGAAACCATCAACACTGTGTAAGAGGTCGCCAAGCAGAAGAGTCAGAAGGTACGTTATCGTGTGCCTGGCTGGTGTCACCAGGAAAGCAGTCGGGGGCCGTCCCTCCCCCACGCCAAACCTCAAGTCCCTGAGCCTCCCGCTACGGACTTGAGCCAAAATGGTTACGGACCCGAGGAGGAGGAGGAGGAGGAGGAGGAGGAGGAGGAGGAGGAGGAGATGGAGGTGGCGGAGAAGGAGATGGAGAAGGAGGGGGAGGGAGGAGGAGGAGGAGGAGGAGGAGGAGGAGGAGGAGGAGGAGGGAGGAGGAGGGGGAGGAGGAGAAGGAGGAGGAGGAGGAGGACGGGTCGCCAAAGCCCTTCGGAGAAACCCTGCAGACACAATGCAGCCTCGGGCCCCTCTCCGCCTCGAGGAAGATGGGGTCGCGCTCGGGCACGGCGCGAGGTGACACACATGAGGGCTCCCGGCACTGGCATTTTGCCCGCCGCCCTGCGGTTGTGGATGCCACGACAATGGACACCCTCACAATTCGATCATTCAACTTCAGATGTGTTCAAAATGTCTGAAACATGTTTGGCACATGTTTTAACCATGTTTTTCTACACGTTCGAGACACGCTTAGCACATGCTCTAGGCATCTGGAAGTTCCTCGGCAACATGCTTCCTCTCCCCTGGCCGTCGTCCACAACCCTGCGGATGATGGCTCGCCTCTCCCGTGGGGTCTGCGCTGCCCGCGCCTTCGGCAGCCCGCGCTGGCGGCTCACCTTCCAGCACACCGGGCGCTCGGCGCCTGAGGCCGCCTGCGCACTCGCCCCTGGCGAAGACTCTCTGCGCCTGAGGCCGCTGCCCGCGGTCTCCCTCCGCGGCCGCCCTCTTCTTTTCCGCTCGTCCAGCGTGCCTCTGCCCGGAGTTGACGTCCGCCCTCGCCGCTGACCCCCCCGAAACAAAGAAGAATTATCCCAGTGCGACCCAACCTAGGAGTTGGAGCATGTAGGAAAGCAACATCTACATTTACACCGACAGCTACATTTACATATACACCTGCATCTACATGTACATCAACATCAACAGCGAGACTCACATCTACATCTACATCTACACCTATGCTATGCTATGATGTGCTATGCTGCGCTATGATATGCGATGCTATGCTGCGCTATGCTATGCTATGCTACGCTGCGATATGTTATGATATGATAGGCTATGTTATGATACGTCATGCTGCGCTATGCGATGCTATGAAATGCTATGCTATGCTATGCCATGCCATGCTGCGCTATGTTATGCCATGCTATGCTATGGTATGTTGTATTGTGCTATGCTATGCTATGCTGCGCTGTGCTATGCCAAACAATGCTGTGCTATGATATGCTATACTATGCTATGCTGCGCTATGCTATGCTATGCTGTGCTGTTTTATGCTGAGCTAGGCTATGCTATGCTATGCGATGCTTGGCTATGCTATGCTATGTTGTGCTGTGCTAATGCTGCGCTGCGCTATGCTGCGCTGCGCTAAGCTAAGCTAAGGTAAGCTAAGCTATGCTAAGCTAAGCTAAGCTAGGATAGGCTAGGCTAAGCTAAGCTTTGCTAAGTTAAGCGAAACCAAGTCAAGCCAAGCTAAGCTAAGCTACGCCAAGCTAGGCTAAGCTAAGCTAGGCAAAGCTAAGCTAAGCTAAGCTAAGATGATATAAGCTAAGCTAAGCGAAGCTTAGCTTAGCTAAGCTAAGCTGGGTGAACCCAGGGGGCGCAACTGGGGGAACCGCGGGGCGGATACTGGGGGAACCGCCCGGGGCGGTTTGCACTGCCCGGCCCCTTTTAAGAAAGAGAACAATAACCCTCTAGGCAGAGCCTAGGTAGGGAATAAACCTGAGCTAAGATGAAGCTAAGCGAAACTAAGATGAATGAGCCTAAGCTAAGCTAAGTCTAAGCTAAGATGACATAAGCTAAGCTAAGATGAGATAAGCAACGCTAAGCTAAGGGGACGTAGCTGGGGGAACCGCGGGGCGGATACTGGGGAACCGCCCGGGGCGGGTTGCATTTGCCGGCCCTTTAAGCACACCGAGTAAGAACCTTTCTAGGCAGAGCCTAGGTAGGGAACAACACGTGAGGACTGCTTGATGTGCTGGGCCCTTCTCTGTGCATCCTGTGGCCTCTGGAGGCCTCCAGTGGCCTGCTGGTATCTCGAAGGGTCTCCGGGGACCTCTGGAGACCCCCGCGGACCTCTGGAAGTCGCCTGGCAGAGCCGTTTACGGGCCCTGTGCCTACCAGGTAACGAAACGAGGGGAGGAGGGAGGAGAGGGGAGGGGAGGGGCGGGACATGATGGAGAGAGGGTAGACGGGGAGGAGGGATGGGGGGGGGAGGGGAGGGGAGACGGGGGGAGGCAAGCTGGGTGCGCAAGCACCAAATCTGACGTCCTACCCCTCCCTCGCATCCATTACCATTGCGTAGATCTCCTCTCTATTCGCACAGTCGGTTGTGGACCAGGGTGCGGATTCCCAGAGAGTGCGCGATGCATGGTACAGCACGGCATCGCATGGCATAAGAGAGCACGGCAAAACTTAGCATGTCGTAACACAAGTTGGGATGACCGCAACAAAAAATAAGTTCAGCGCTACAGCGGGAACCTGATTTGTAATAGCAAAGATCAGGGAACTGGATCCAACGCTGTAGCGAGATCGCCATTCGGAAAGGACTGGCATCTTTCGGATTGGAACGACACACATTAAGTATCAACTGGGCGGCATCCTGTGTAAAGACCAATGCGCGGAGGAGGCCAGGATAACTCACTGGCGTCTTCGGGGGAGACAGGAGAGTAGAATTCATACTGTGGAGGGACAAGCTAGGTGCGCTCGCGCCAGATCTGACATCCCACCCTCCCACCCATACCTTCCAGTTGCGCTGATGTCCCCTCTATCCGCGGACGCGTGTCATGGCAAACCTGGACCTCCCAACAAAAACCTATTGTGTTATGCGCAATCGAGAAAGGGGAGCTGCGGACATAGTAAGAGGAGGAGGAAGAAGAGGAGGAGGAGGAGGAGGAGGAGGAGGGAGGAATGAGGAGGAGGACGAGGACGAACAGCAGCAGCGGGAACCGGAGTGGAAGGAACGGGAGGAGCAGGAGGACCAGGGGCAGGCGGAGGACGAACAAGGAGGGGGGGGGCCAGTGCTGAGGAAGCACTTGCATCCAGAAGAGCGCCAGGGAAAACACGCCGATCCTAAAGCGGGGCGGCACTGCAGCAGCAGCACCATCTTGAGACACTGGAGACGCTCCGATTGAGCAGGCCATAGGGGGAGACAGCTTTTGACATCCTGCGTGTGGGCAACAATACGTGGATGGAGCGAGCCACTCCCTGGCCATCTCTGGGAAGAGAGGAAAGTGGTAACTAGATGGAGCGCCTGTAAAGAGGGCGGAAGGTTGGATGGAGGGGGGGGGGTAGAGAGGCACTCGATGGAGGCGTCGGAGGGGAGGAGAGATAATGACGAGGGAATGACCTGGGCCACGAGTCAGGCATTCGGGCCTGCAACAGAAGGGGACCACGGATTCGTCGGAGCCCGCGAGCCAAATTGCGCCTCTGCCTCTCCCCGATCCATTCCCGGGACAGGGGGAGGATGTGGAAGGAAGAGGGAGGACGGATGGGGAGGGCAGGAGGGGCGGCGAGATAGAAGGATGGGAGAAATAGTTACGGAAGGTGGACAACGGGAGAAAGGAATTAATTAAGCAATACAGGAGGCAGAAGAGGAGTGAGGCGGATGCAGCGGGTAGGAGGGGAGAAAAAGGGGGACGATAGATAAGAAAGGGAAAAAAGAAGAGGTGGATGAAGAGGGGATGAAAGTGGAACGAAAACGCAGATTTTCTGCCCTAGACGCGGCCAGGGGCGGCGATCCCGATCGAACTCGAGGCACCCCTTCCCGGCCCCTGGCACGCACGTTGAACACGGTGTAAGTGCCCATCTGCTCCTGAGGGACATGGCGAGTTGAGGAGGGGATGACGAGGCAGCGGGAGGCGAATTAGCGGCGCGCACAAGGGGGGTGGCTTTCCAAGAAGGCAGGGGGGACTCTTAGAAGGCGCGGGCCGTCTAAGACTTACATCTTAGAAGCGCCTGGAGGCCTCTGAGTAGCCTTCGTTGAAACCTCGGGGCGCCCCCCCCTTCTTCTGGCCGTGCCCCCTCTACATCCTCCACGTCCTCCTCCTTCTCTGCCTCCTCCGTGAAAGAAGAATAACTGGCATCAGCATAAGCTTTTGACGCTCCGCGCGCATTTCTTGGATCTGCGCTGAGCCCCCTCCCTGGCGCGCGGAGCGCGCCAGGGGCGGCTCTGGAGGCGGCGAAGGGGAAGGGCCCAGGGCGGTTTCAAGAAATCCGCGTGGAGCGCCGAACATTTATGTTTATGGCGTTTTTTCTTCTTCGACACCTTGCTTCCCTCCCTCCGCACTCATGAGGCGGCCCTCTGCCGGGACGCCCGTCCGGCCCGGCCGCCCGGCGCGGGCACCCACACTCACCGTGGCACCGACGCTTGTGCGGAGGGCCCCTGCCTGCCAGCTCCCTGAGGAGGGGTCCTCCTCCTCCTCCTCTCCTCCTCCTCCTCCTCCTCCTCCTCCTCCTCCTCCTCCACCCCAGTGGGTCCGCACTAAAAATTACTCTGGCGAAGGGTCACTCTTACGTGTAGTCGACTTACTGACGTTGTCCTGCGACAGGAACGGACCAGGACAGAAGTCTGCGTGCCAGCTCCGGTTACCAGAGCGTTCCCCCAGCGGGCAGACCGCGCGCTGAGCAAGTCGGAAATTCGAAGAAGCTTCCAAGCACATGCGGGAAACCATGCCCGGCCAGCTAAGGAGGGCAAGATGATGATGATGATGATGATGATGATGATGATGCTGATGATGATGGTGATGATGCTGATGATGGTGATGATGATGATGGTGATGGTGATGGTGACGGTGATGATGCTGATTATGATATGATGATGATGATGATGAGGAGGAGGAGGAGGAGGAGGAAGAAGGGAGGAGGAGGAGGAGGAGTAGGAGAAGGAGGAGGAGGAGTAGGAGGAGGAGGAGGAGCAGAAGGAGCAGGCGGAGAAGGAGGAGGAGGAGGAGGAGGAGAAGGGAGGCAGCCGGCAACCAAAGGGCGGACGAAAGTAGGGCCGCTGGCGTGCAGGAGCTGGCACTCCACGTCGGCGGCGCCCGGGGACGGCGACGGCTGGGCTTCGGGCCCTGCGGGGCCCCAGACATGACCGAGCTGAGCCTTCCCTGCGCGTTATACATGGGCGATTCGGAAACCCTGAATCCAAAATCGTTGTCATTTCTTGGGGGCGCATGTTTTACTTCCGCCACCCTTCCGCCGACTTCCGCCGGCGGAGGCGGCTGTGTTATATTTCCCCCGACCTTCCGCCGTCCTTTCGCCGCCTTCCGCAGTGGAAGAGATGTCAACTCATTCAATCCTCGAAGGCAAGCCCTCTTTTGGAACGCCCCACATCTACACTCGTGGTGTCTGCGGTAGGTTCGTGCGGCGTCGGCGCGCGCACAGGTTTTTGTCACTGCGTCGATCACTCAACCTTGAACCTATCGCGGCCCCGATCGTTCAAGGCTGAAGTCCGTCGGGTCCAGTGACGTCGCCGTGTCCCTCTGTGCTCCCGCGTCGCAGAATTCACGCAGGCGTCGCCGGCGCGCCATCGCAGCCCGCCCGCCTCTCTCGAAGGGAGGCTCCCCGCGCAGCGAGGCAGAACAGTTGCAGGGATTGGCTGGGAATGGGGTTTGATTTATGGAGCCGCCCTCCCTCCCTCCCTCCCTCCGCCCTCCCTCCCTCCCTTTCTCCCCCCCTCCCTCCCTCCCTCCCTCCGTCCTCCCTCCATCCCTCCCTCCTCCCTCCCCCCCTCCCCCCCTCCCTCCCTCCCTCCAGTGGCTTAGGGACGGGAGGACTGCAACATCTTTGATGCACTGTGGGTCTCCCCGGGTCCTCCGCCCCTAGTGGGATCGAAAATGAGCGGAGCATGAAAGGTAAGAGGATGTGATAACGAAGGGCACTTTCTATGGGGAGCGAGTCGGAACCACGGTTAACAACGAATACGACCTGCAAACTAGGGCCGAATGGCAGCGGGCTGTGCAAGGTGAAATCGAGGATCAGGCAAGAGGGGCTGTGACACTTCAGCTCCTCCTCCTTTTTCCTGAGACACGACTTCTCCCTGTCGCACTCCCAGACGTGTCCTTTAGGGTGGGCTGGGCGTTTCGCCAGAGACTTCTTCACCAGTTTACGCCCTGAAGCTCAAGCTTTGAAGCAGCTCCAAAGATCGATGACCGATCCTTTCCAACATGTGTTTCTCAACTTAGACGCCGCGCAAATTCGTCTTTGAAGCTTGCGGCGGCTTCAAGGACGGAGCGCAGTTCATTTTCAATGGCTCTCACTGTAATGCCGCGTGCTTTCGTGTCAAACATTTGACGCGGTTTCAAGGATTTGTAGGGTCGAGGTCCAGGACGTGCGCTCTGGCACGAATTCGGATTGCCAGGGAGCAACGCTCACGTTGATTCGCGGTGTCGAAGCTTCAGGAATGGTGTTCTGGGACTTTGGCACGATGCCGGGCTTTCAGATAGTTGTCGTTCAATGGGGGACTTGCCACAATGAGCATGAACTCTTGTAGGGACCTACGGAGAGGGAGCTTGGAGGGAGGGTGTCTTGCACTATCGTTGAAGCGCCTTGGGTGTACACTGGTCCTCCTCCTCCTCCTCCTCCTCCTCCTCGCCTCCTCCTCCTCCTCCTCCTCCTCCTCCTCCTCCTCCTCCTCCTCCCCTGTGGCGCTCCCCAGCCAGGTTGTCCACCAGCCACGTCGTGGTGCGCGCGTGGACCTCGAAGTCGTCCAAATGCGCCAGGTCGAGCGGGAGGGTCTCGTCCGTGGTCGCCTCCAGACGGGCGAGGAGGAGGAGGAGGGGGAGGAGGAGGAGAAGGAGGAGGAGGAGGAGGAGAAGGAGGAGAGGAGGAGGAGGAGGAGGAGGAGGAGGAGGAGGAGGAGGAGAAGGAGGAGGACGTGGAGCGGGAGCGGGGGAGGACGAGGAGCGGGAGGAGTTGGGAGCCAGGTGGGGAGGGGGAGGAGAAATGGGGCAGGGAGGGGTAGGCGTGGATATGGGGGAGGTGGGCGAGACGGACTAGGAGGAATCTCCTCCACTCCGCTCCTGCTCGCCTCCGCCTCCTCCTGCGGTCCTTCTCCTTTTTTGCCTCCGCTCCCCCTCTCCACTCCCCACCAACTCTTCCCCGCTCTCCTCTGACTCTTCTCCTCTCCATCCTATTCCTGTCCCTCCTCTGCTCATACGTTCCTCGCCCCCCTCATCCGCATCCTCCTCCCCCACGACCCCCACTGGCTTCCACATACTCATCCGCCCCTCCTCCACCCTCCACATCCATAAGGAGCTGGAGGAGGAGGAAGGCGAATGGATACTGAGGATGAGCAAGAGACGTAATATTGAAGGGTGAGGTGCATGGGGGAGGGGTGGAATATGAGGAGGCGGAGGAGAAACAGGACGACCCCCTGGAATCCACACTAGCCTCCAAGAGACATCCAGAGCATATGAGACACAACAAGCAATCCCCCCTCCTTCTCGTCCTTCGGCCACATCGCCTCCCCTCTCGCCCGTGCCCCCTCCCGACACCCGATGCCCCTCCCCGCTCGCCGAGGTCTTGTACGTGTGCACGCGCCAGCTTGCCGCCGGCTGAGGCTCCTGGCGAGGAGTTGGAGGAGGAGGTGGAGGAGGAGGGAAGGTCAGGATACCAAGGAGCAGGGAGGAAAGAACGATGAAGAGGAGGAGAATGAGCCCATAAGGATGGCGAGTGAGCAAGAAAGAGGGGAAAGACGATGTGCAGGACCGAATCGGAAACTCATGAGGGGGGTCAAGGGTGATAAGGAGGAGTCGGACTGATGATGGGTGGAATGGAGGAGAAGGAGGGAATGGGATTGGAAGGAGAGGGAGGAACGATGGGGATGTTGTTGATGAGAAGCACGAGGAAAAGGGAGACATACTGATGAATGATGGAGGAGGGGAGATCAGGATGAGGGGTGTGTGTGGGACGAGGGAGTGGAGGGGGAGCGGAAGGGTGAGCCAGTGTTAACTTGCGCGAGTGGAAAGCAAATCAGATCGGCCCTTGCATCGAGTATCAAGAGTGGGCCACGCCAGGGTGGCGCGAAAAAGCGGCGTGAATGTTCCACAGAGACTGGTTGGAAGCTGCCGCGAAGCAGCGGCGTTTAACGGTTCTGTTTTGTGTCTGGGAACCCCCAACATCAGTCTTGAAAGAAAGGGGATGCCGAATAGGAAACGAGATGGATGATGGGGGAGACAGGCGGAGGAACAGGAGGAGGAGGAGGAGGAGGAGGAGGAGAGGAGGAGGGGAGGAGGAGGAGGAGGAGGAGGAGGAGGAGGAGGAGGAGGAGTGAGGGGGGAGGGAGGAGGATGAGAGGAGAAGAGGAGGAGGAGGAGGAGGAAGAGGAGGAGGAGGAGGAGGAGGAGGAGGAGGAGGAGGAGGAGGAGGAGGAGGAGGAGGAGGAGTGAGGAGAGGAGGCAGGAAGGAGGAGGGAGGAGGGGGAGGAAGAAAAGGATGAGGAGGAAGCAGGTGGGGATCTGGGAACACAGTGGGGGCCCGACCACGAGAAACCTTCCACGAGAAACCCGAGCCTGAGACCACGGGATGTCCATTGGCTTTTGGTGTGAGAGCGTCACGCTCTCCATCGCAAGACCCTCGAGCCACAAGGCACCCAGGGCACCCAGGAGGCGAGCAGGGTGTTTCTTGGAATGGGCCTCCACTGTGCACAGCACCTGCTTTCAGAGAGCGGCCTCTGCAGGAACGGGCGCTGGAACTGAGAATGAGAATCCGCCCGAGGCTTGCGCACCCCGCGCGCTCCCATGGGAAACATCGGAGCGGGGCGACTCGAGACAACGACGGCTCGAAGTCGGTCCCCGGACCCCTCTCGGAGTCCAAACGCACCAACCTCGAGCTGCGCCCAGCCGTGGCGACGAGGGGGCCTCCCGAAGGCCAACTACCGCTGTCTCCACTCGCCCTCCTCTGACGTTCGTCGGTCGCCCGGCGTTCGGGTCATGGCTCGGGCCTCCGGCGGCCGTCCGGGCCGACCCGGGCCCCCGCAGAACGCTCTCGACGAGGCGCAGCTGCGGGAGAGCATCCCGAAGCTGGAAAGCCACCAGGAACCGACGAGACCGCCCGAAAACCTCAAACCGCGAACTCGACCTCCTCTGAAACAAGCGGCTCCGTGGGATTCCGCACGTACAGCACCAGCCGGTACGTGGTCCCCGCCACGAGCGCCTTCGAGCCTCCGTGCGGGCGCAGAGCCGAGCGATGTGGCGGTGGTAGTGGCAGTGCCAGCAAGGCACGAGGATGCAAACCCGATTTGTCTGGCTGATGCTCTGGGAGGGGCCTGTGCACAGGGGATGCTGCAGCACCGCTCGTGGTGCGTGTTGCTCTGTTCGGGACTTGTTTCCCTTACGCCGCGACCACCACCACCACTCCCTCCTCCTTCCCCTCCTCCTCCTCCTCCTCCTCCTCTTCCTCCTCCTCCTCCTCCTCCTCCTCTTTCCTCCATCCTTCCCCCCTTCCTGCCCGATCGAAAATCATCCTGCTCCTACCTCTCTTTCTCCTCCGCTCTCCTCCTCACAGTCCTTCTCCCCGTCCTCCCCCCGCGCCTCCTGCAATATCGCTCAATGCGAATGCTGCTTGCCTCTCCCCTGACACCTGTCCCGTCGTGGCCCCGCATCTCCGCGCGAACCCCGCCTGCACACGCGGAATTCCTGCTCCAGACGGGTTATTTCCAATCGTAGCGGTTCTGACTCTCAACATGGTGCTCCTGCTGCAGCGCTGCTCATGGTGTTCCTGCTGCTGCATCGGCGCGTTGCTCCCGCTGTTCAGCATGGCGCTCTCGCCCCAACGCGAGTCACACTTCTGGGTCCGATTCATTACTCGTCATTGTCGCCCCATCCTTGCCCCTCCACCGCCATCTCCTGGACCTCATGTTCCTCCCGCCCCTCCTACTCCTGCTCCTGCTGCTGCTCCTCCTCCTCCTCCTCCTCCTCCTCCTCCTCCTCCTCCTCCTCCGCCTTCCTCATTATCCTCTTCCTCATGCTCACCCTCATGCTCATCTGCTACCTCCTCCTCCTCCTCGGCCTCCTCCCAAATTTACACCAGTCCCCTTTCTGATTGCGCATCACGCGATGAAGTCATTCTTGGGATCCGGATCCCGCTAGGACACCCGTCGGCAGACAGAGGGAGAATGGGAAGGGATGAGCGGGAATGAGAAGGGATGAGCGGGAGGGGCAGGATGTCAGATACGGCGCGAGCAGACCTAGATTGCCCTCCCCTCCCTCTCTCCGCCCCCTCCCCTCTCTAGGAGGAAGATCACACGGCGTATATGCACAAGCGTTCGATGGCCCGCGCGGATTTCTTGGATCTGCGCTGCACCCCCCTCCCCGGCGCGCGGAGGGCGCCAGTGGCGGCGCCAGAGGCGCCGGCGCCAATGGGGGTCCAGCTTATGCTGGCTCGTATATTCTTCTTCTTCTTCTTCTTCGACTCTCTCCTCTCGCCCCCCTTGGCCAGTACACGACCACCCAGGATGGCAAGAACGCCTCGCCGCCCAGCTCAAACTTTGGCCATCGTGGCGAACACTGCGTGCAGCCCCTCGTGGCTGCTGCCACCAGCATGGTGTGGCAGAACCACTGCCGCGGCACTCGGACCTCGAGGATCGCGGGGGATTCCTGTTATCAAAGGCGCCCAGGGAGACAACCAAACAAACACAAACTCCAGGATTCCACATACTTCCACACCATCCTGTGGTGATGGGTCCTCGTTTTGAAGAAACTGTGCCCCGCGTCGTCGTCTCCTCTCCTCTCCTCTGCCCTCCTCTGCTCTGCTCTCCTCCCCTCTCCTCTCCTCTCCTTTCCTCTCTTCTCCTCCTCCTCCTCCTCCTCCTCCTCCTCCTCCTCCTTCTCCTCTTCTCTCCTCCTCCTCCTCCTCCTCCTCCCGCTCCTCTCTCCTCCCACCCTTGCCTCTGCCCGCCGCGTGTCAACCAGCTCGGCACTCCAGTCACCCCCCTCCCTTTGGCACACCCCGCACACGCATCGTGGCCCCATAGGGAGCTCCACCAGTGGCTGCGTTCGCATGCGCCACCCACTTCGCTTTGGCACACCCCGCGCACGTTTCGTTGCCCCATAGGGAGCTCCACCGACGGCCCCAGAGGCTGCATTCGCATACCGCCGGCTGGCGTTCTTCTCGGGATGGCTGGTCTGCGCGCGGCTAGCGGGGCGACAGCTGGGGTGGATGGGGCGGCCCTGGTGGCCGCCGCGGCCCGCGCGGCCGTCGAGGCCAAGGCGCCACGGCGAACGGTGGCTGCAGTGGCGCGGGGCGCGGCTTCGGTGGCCCTTCGGGCCGCGGCACCCCCGCCGCCGCCTGCGGCCGCCAGCGCTGGGGCGGCTGGCCGCAAAGATGGAGCATCGGATGCGAAGCGGGAACGGCGGCGTCGGCGCCGCGCTCGTCTCGCTGAAGGCCGCCGTGCTGCTCGTGATGCTGTTCCTGGAGCCGGTTGCGCCGGCATGCCTGCCCCTGCGGAGGGGGGCTCTGGCGGCGACGCTCCGATGGTCGACGGCTTCGACGACAGCGACGGGACCATCGACGACTCCTGGGCCGACAGCCTGCCCGTCCGCGGGCCGCGTCGACTTAGGAGTGGAGGCGAGAGCATGGACCTCGCGGAGGTGGCTGCTGCTGGCGCGGGCGGTTCGGGCTCTGGCTCGGCCGCTGCGACGGGCGCGCCTGCGGATGCGGTGCTGGCCCTCGCGGGCGCCCCTGGCGGGGCGGCGGCAGCGGGGGCGGCGGACCCAGCTCGAGGAGCTGGAGGAGCTGCTGGAGCCGCGGGGTGCGGCCTCGTGAGCGACGGCCACGCCAGCGGTGCCGCGCAGCGGCGGCGCGGGCCCAGGCGTCCTCGGGCGAAGGCGGCGGCGGAGCTGGACGCGGCGCTCGCGGTGGCGGCGCCTGCTGCTGGTGGAGCTGCGGCCTCGGAGGTCGGCCAAGGAGGAGGTCTTCGCGGTTGCCGACGGCCTCCTCCGCCAGGCGGCTGACTACGAGCCTCGGCTCGGCGAGCAGCTTCGGCAGATGCCGGAGGCCGTGAGCTGGAGGCCTGCCAACGCCTCTGAGCCAGTGCTCGCGGGTGGCGCGCCGGACGCCTGGTGGCTCCCGCCGCCACTGGCTCCTGAGGGAGTGGCTTTCGTGGTCTGCCCTCTCCAGAGGGCGGCACGGCCTGGAGGGTGCCCCGCGGGGCTGCCCCAGGTTACGCCGCAGACCTCAGTGGAGCAAGCCGGGCAATCGTCGGCCTCGGCCTGGGCGGCAGCGGCGGGGTCCAGGGGAGTGCCTTCGGTGGTCTAGCCCCTTTTGGGAGCTGGCACGGCTGGGTGCCCCGCGCGGGCGCCCCTGGTGACTGGGGCCTTCGGTGGAACTCCCTACAGTCGGGGCGTTGACCTAAGAAACCCTAAATTAGGAAAGAGGCCTTTTTTTTTCCATGACTTCAACTTCGATTTCCCATCGAAAACCTACGGAAAACAGGAGGCAAGCTGCGAAACGATTGAGGAACACGGAGCCCCTCCCAAACGAGAAGGGTTCCTTCTTCAGCGCCCCAACTGCATGGTGGCCGAAGCATACGAGGGGTGCGCCGAATGGGGTGCAGGCACGCCATGCGGTCTGCGCTGCCGAGGCCTTCGGCGGAACTCCCCGTGGGGCCGCGCAGCGCGTGAGGGGCACGCCGACGCGGGTGCGGCGGTGCCAGGCGAACGCATCCGCTGGGGGAGCTCCGGTGGAGCTCCGTACGGGGCCACGGATCGTGAGAGGGGTGTGCCGAATCGGGTGCGGGTGCGCCAGGTGGAGCTCTTCATGGGGCCACGGAGCGTGTGAAGGGGTGTGCCGAAACGGGTGCGGATCCGCCGTGGGGACCGTGCCGCTCGGATCTTCGGTTGAATTCCATATGGAGCCACGAGGCGTGTGATGGGGTGTGCCGAATCGGGTGCAGGTGCGCCATGCGGACTGCGCCACTGGGGCCGTCGGTGGAGCTCCTTTCGGGGCCACGGAATCCGATGCGGGTACGCCATGCGAACTGTACCGCCCAGATCCGCGGTGGAGCTCCCTACGGGGCCACCAAACGTGTGAGGGGTGTGCCGAATCGGGAGCGGGTGTGCCATGAGGACTATGCAGCTGGGGCCTTCGGCGGAGCTCCATACGGGGCCACGAAGCGAGTGAGGGGCGTGCCGAAATGTGTCCAGGTACGTCATGCAGACTGTGCGACTGGGGCCTTCGGTGGAGCTCCCACTACAGGGCCACGAAACGTGTGACAGGTATACCAAAAGGGGTGCGGTGGAGGGCAGAGGCAGGGATGGGAGACGGGGGCGGCGGGAGGGACCGGAGTGGAGGCGCGGCGCTGTCTTTTCAAATCGAGGACCCAACCAGGGCCGATGATATTGCAAGTGGGCCTGGCTATTCTCCTCCTCCTCCTCCTCCTCCTCCTTCCCCTCCCCCTCCTCCTCTTAACTCCTCCTCCTGCTCCCCCGGACCAGGATCCAGGATCCGTTCAGCATCGGTGCCCGGACTCCTCCTCGGGTCCATCGTGGCGA